CAAGAGAGTTTTATTACTTTGCAGATATGTAAAGGAGTATTCATCAAATTACTCTTAGTTAAGGATATCCTAGACGGGGCAAGCTTTAAAAGGGTATAAAATAATATTTTGTTGTTTTATCACATAAAACAGAGAATAAAAGAGAAAAACGATTAGCTCGTTGGAAATAATAGAGTGTCTTACTTACCTGGAATAGGAATAATAGGAATACTTTCGTTAGGGACCACTCGAGGTGAGTTGCTGTCTTCCACATAGAAATGAGCAGTCTGAAAACATTTTCTGTGTAGAAAGGAGAAAAACATGTCAACAATAGAATACGCTTTGTCTGAGTTCCTCATCTTTTAATTCTTCTTTTACAGATCTTCCCAGCTTAAAGATCACACAGCACTGAGGGAAAACTCATGTAAAAGTAACAATATACAAGGATAACATTCAGCCTATTGCAGGGGCCCCAAATTGCTAAAGAGTACCCTTTTTTTTTTGATCATCACCACATCCAGCCTGATAGTTGAAAGGGAAAGGCTTGGTACTTAACTACTCAAATACGTGAAACTATAGCAGAGAGTAAACCTGCCACATACACTGCCAGAATTCTCATCACAATATTTCTAAATTTGATATGTTGCAGAGAAATAATTTGCTATTCTAAACCCACAGTACCAAGTTCAAAACCACACCTTGTATCCCCTTCCAACACTGTCATCAAACAGCCCAAGTACATAATAGCACCACATTGTTCATGGTGAGTAAAGGCCCCCAAAGCCTCAGACAGCTCTTTAAAGAGGTCAGAGGGCTTCAGAAAGGCAGGCACTCAGACTCAGAGGCCCTTGTCAGACAACATCTGACACAAGGTCTTGAAGCCCTTAAGGGTCATCTGCTTGTTTTTTTACCTGTATTTCACGCAAAGCAGAGAGCATACACTGGTCATGATAGGACAGTCAGTGAAGAGAAAAGCCATCAGCAGCTCACTCAGCCTCTGCCTCCGATGCTGGCTAGCCCTCAGCTTTCCTGCATCCACGTCACTGCTCATTGCGGCCCTAATGAGCTGCCGGAAGCACAGGCTGAATATTTAATGAAGCTGCTCAGCATGAATGGCTATTGTGACCAGAGAAGGGTCCCTGTTCATTTGGTGGAGGGGCTTTACAATAGCTGGCCCTACTGCTGGGTCTTTTAGCCAAGCAGGCGGTATCCTTCTGGTGCTGTGTCACTGGGATCTGTCCTCCTCCTTTGGCGTCTCACACCAAACAACATTTACACACATTACAGCTTTGCTTTTCCTGGGGGCCATATTCCAACTACCAGAGTAAGTCCACTTTTCTTCACAGTTGTCTTTGCTCATCTAATCAAAAATATCCTAGGATGATTCCATTTGGTGTACGCTGTTTTTATGAGGCCAAAGGAGGGGTTAGGGTTGGGAAGGTTAGAGAAAAATCAAGAAACTGTAAAAAACATCTCTGTGGGAGTGAAAACACCTCAGAGTTATATAGATGTTTCCATCTCAGCTTTTATATAGGCTATAACCAAATGCAATCAGAAATGATCACATGTCATAGTATGAAGTGCTGTTCTTTAAGCAGTGCCTATTTTCAGATGGAAAGTAGCTCTAACTAGTTGTCCATTTGGATAGTGCTCTTGGATCAGTCTAGACTGCTGCTCCATACCTTTAGAAGATTTTGAACATCAATTTCTATAGCTCTTGGCACATGCCTTCCAGGACTACTCTTACAGAGGACTGAAGGAAAAAATGAGTGGGTTTTTTTTTTCCTACAAATTGCTAAATTCAGCGCTTGTAATATAAATAATAAAACACGTTTTCATCACTCTTAGCTGCCTTTACCTAAATTTGTGAAGAACATGAGTTAGACTTAAGCTACATAGATATGAAGTGCACATAATATAGGGCTCTGGTGCTAACCAAATCTTCTGAATCTAAAACAATGGAAATCTATGTGAAAAAACATTTTGATGTCTGAGATAACTTCCTTCTTTCTCTAAATTAGTTATTAAGTTTTCTACTCTTGGATTCCTTCCTCTCCTCACCCACCTTCTCCAATTTGCACAAATTTCCAGAATGTAACATTAAAGTTAAAACATAGTTATGGACTTCACAAATGAATCAAAGCCTAAACCACCCAGTATCATAGCTAAGGAAAATCTGCTTTTGTTGAGTTAGAGGACAGCTATTCAATTACTTACTAGCCCAAAGAAGTACTCTAAGTCACTGAGATGAATGGGATGCAATTTACTGGGTTAGTCTTTAACAAAATGAAAAAAACAAATGCATGCAAGAAATAACTTTGATTTTAAGACTATAATTATTATGGCTATTAGAATTCTAAAATATAAAGTTATTAAACAATTGTTACTGACCAAGTTACTGTTAAAGTGACTTGGAAAGGATATATATACTATACTGCAGTTGTTTTTTTTTCCTACAAGACAGGCAGACAGTTCAGCCAGTCTCTCAGTTACATGTGGAACTACAGGCTCCACATTATCTTTGAAAAAAGCAGTGTGTACTGAAGCAAATCACACTCCAGTGCCCCATGTGCTGCTGTTTATAATGGATTTTCCCTGGAGCAAAATAACTGCGATTGCCAGAGAAAAGCACACAACTGGGGATAAGGATCAGAAACTCTGGAGACAAAGCTCTGCATCTGTACCTTGCTGCACGTCACGCACTTGCCTCCCACACAAATACATGGGTGGGCAACTAACTACAGAACTTCGCGGGGAGTGTCTTCCCGTAGAATAAAGATTTCAATGGATTCAGCAAATGTTTATTCAGCACCCAATGCACAGCATCAAGTATGCAGACAATGCATTCTCTGCTGCTGTCTGCCATCCTTACAACTACTTCTGTAAGCCTGGCTAAACACTGGAGTAATTGATAAATTATATAAGCAATAGATGATCTTTGCAGAAAAATTAGGAAATACAAATGAAAAGAAAAAAATTAAAATCACCTAAAATCTTTCTCCCAGTGATGATCGCTGTTAATATATTCGGTCTATCCCTTTATACTTTTCCTCATTTATTGACTATTCCTTGATCATCTGCAGTAAGGAGCTGGGAGCATAATGATAAACAAGACACATAAGGCACCTGCCCTCCCTAGTATTTATGTCTTCATAGGGAAAATCCACAACAAGCAAACAAATAGCTTCAAATAGTTGAAAGCAATGAAGAAAATAAGACAATGATGTGGTGATAACTGAAGTAGGCTGAAGGAAGAAACTTCACTGAGGAGGTAGCATTTGCGCTGAGGCCTGATTAAGGGGGAGTAACCCTGTGAAGTTCTGGAGGAAGACCATTTTGGGCAGGTCAAGCAGCTAGTCGAAGAACCTTAGAGCATAGGGAGCTTGGCACATTTTAGGAACTGGAAGGAAGCCAGAGGTAAGGGAAGGGCTGTGGAAAGCAAGGTTGGAGAGGTGGGCCAGAGCCAGATCATGCAGGATCCAGCAGACCACAAAGAACCTTCATTGGTGTCTAAGAACAGGGGAAAGCCAATGAAGGGCTTTAATCCATGGAGAGGCACCATCTGATTTGCTTCTTTCAAAAAGCTCATTTTGGCTACTACATGGTGGAGGGACTAGAGGGCAGCAGGAATGGAACAAGGAGATCAATCTGTGGGCTATTATTATAATCTCACCCAAATATAGACAGATGAGCTGTTTTCCTTTTTTTTTTTTTTTTTTTTTTGCAGGCAGGGGATGTATTTTATTTTGAGTCTCACTCTCTCTCACGCTGGAGTGCAGTGGCACAATCTCGGCTCACTGCAGCCTCCACCTCCCAGGTTTGAGTGATTCTCACAACTCTGGTGCCTCGGCTTCCCAAGTAGCAGGGACTATATGGAGGGGGGGTTATTTTTAAAATATGAAATGAGATCATTCTATATGTATCTCTCCTGGATAACAAATATAAGACTGGCATCCTCTTTATTAATGTTTGCTTAATCTTCCATTTCATGGCAATGTTGGTATTTAACTGATTCATTTAATAACTATCTATTGGGGGGGTCTACTCTGGGTCAGGGACTGATGAAGGTGGTGAGGGTGTTGTCAAGTTTTCATGATCCTTAACAATATTAAGATCCCTTTGCATGTACAAATTCTACATTGTGTTTAATACCTAAGAAAAGCAGCTTCATATCACATGACATTGTATTTTAACTTTCTCATTTCAGAGAACTCCCATGAGAAATTATGCTTCTTGACCTTCAGAAATATCCAGGAATAAAAAAGCGAAAGCAAGGATTTTGGAGAAAAGGAAAGGAAAACACAAGTTTTAATACCTCTAAACTTCTGAACTGTGATCTGCTTAAGGAGGCAGTGTTGTCTCTAATTTTGAGCTCAGGGGAATGGAGATAGAATTTCTCAAAGTGGGGCCGGGCAAGATGGCTAAAGCCTGTAATCCCAGCACTTTGGGAGGCCAAGGCAGGTGGATCACGAGGTCAGGAGATCGAGACCATCCTGGTCAACATGGTGAAACCCCATCTCTACTAAAATACAAAATATTAGCTGGGCATGGTTGTGCGTGCCTGTAATCCCAGCTACTCGGGAGGCTGAGGCAGGAGAATTGCCTGAACCCAAGAGGCGGAGGTTGCAGTGAGCCGAGATCGCGCCATTGCACTCCAGCCTGGGTAACAAGAGTGAAACTCTGTCTCAAAAAAAAAAAAAAAAGCATTTCTCAAAGTGCTTAAGTGTGTCACTGAGCGTGCTATTTCAATTTTCTACCTAGGTCTAATTCTCTTTCAGCTAACTTACCCTTACAGACCCTGCCTGAATGAATCAGATTTCTAGGATCATGAAGAGCCATTGTCTAAAATTATAGTTTCTTTCCAGTGAACATTTGTATATGTAAAGAGGGAAACCAATGAAATAGATGTTTGTAATGAAAAAATGTATTTACAAATTTAGCTACAAAATATAATCCAATGATTCCCTACCATATATTTCATGTTTCTACCTCTGCCCTTTTTTCTTTCTTTTTTTTTTAAGATGGAGTCTTCCTCTGTCGCCAAGCTAGAGTGCAGTGGCGTGACCTCAGCTCGCTGCAACCTCCACCACCTGGCTTCAAGCGACCCTACTGCCTCAGCCTCCCGAGTAGCTGGGACTACAGGCATGTGCCACCAAGCCCAGCCAATTTTTGTATTTTTAGTAGAGATAGGGTTTCACCATGCTGGCCAGACTGGTCTCGAACTCCTGACCTTGAGATCTGCCTGCCTCAGCCCCAAAAGTGCTGTGATTACAGGTGTGAGCTGCTGTACCTGGCTGCCCTTTCTTTTTACTTCCCATCCCCTTCCCCACCCCTGGGTATTGTCTGTCCCCTTTAAGAACCTCAGGACAGGTAACATTATTTTCACTGACCCTGACAGACCTAGTAGTGACCCGAATTGATTATCTTCTACTTCCCCCTATTGTACATTTGCAGCACATATCTTTCTGACACTTAAGTTCTCTGATTTAGGTATGTCTTAATTTTGGAGGGCCCTCAACAGTCAGTCAGTCTCTCAGTCTCTCTCTTATCAATAAAGTGTCAGTCTGGTGGTTATTAACAAGCGCTGCATAGCTCTTTGGCTTAGGGAGCTTTTAGAATACCCAGGCAGGGTAAGCCCCATTCCTGGTGATTCTAACAGAGCAGGTGCAGGGTGGGGCACAGCTCTGTGTATTGTGAAGAATCCCTCTGAGGATTCTGGTATGTACTGTGTCCAATTATGAACCACCGTGAGAAAGGGAAAATGGTTCCTGAGAGTCCACCCTTGTGGACTGCTATACTTGTATGGTAGGAAAATTAATTTCGGTTTCTACGAAGGTATTGAAGTATTCAATATTATTAATAAAAATGATGTTCTGACATCCTGAATTCCAAATTTCCTGCCACTTGAACAAACTGGAAAATCACTGTCTTAGATGGCTTTCTAAAGCCCACGCATCCACAAGGTACCCAAGATAGAAGGACTTAAGTGAAATATTCACTGAATGCTCCCAGAAGAGTCCAAGAAAGCTCAGTTTGCATGAGGTATTTCCTCAATTCAAACTCAGTGGGTGAGTAAGACAGAATGAAAGTGAAACAGGACAGGTGAATCTGTTGGTCCCTAACTTGGTCCCATTTCTCATATGCCTCTCACAGAGTAAGCATTTTGCCACACCAAAGGAGAGTCCCTGTTCAAAGAATGCATTTTTCTTACAGCATAGCCCGAAATGCTACCCAAGTTCTTCCAGTGCTTGACCAAAGATGACTAACATATTAGATCTATGTACATTTCTACAGAAAGTTCTGAGTAGCAGAGTGGAAGCCAGCTTCCTATCATTACTCTCCAATCATTCATCCCTTTTTAGAAAACCAAACATGGGCCCATATATCTTTAAAAGATTTCTAAGAAAGGTCTGATTGGAAGTCTAGAAGGTAATGTGTGATATCCTCCCAGTAGCTGATCAAATCTGTATGAATTCTGGTTAGCAGCTTTCTGGGTCTTAAGCCCACAGCCCATACTTGTGGTCCAGATCTGTGGAGTGTCTGAAGGCCTGACGGGAGGAGTGTGCAAGTATGCATGGCTTCTTAAAAGCCCACATGGGACACATAAAGCTTATGATTAGGAATATTTTCCCTTGGATTGAAATTTCTAAAAATAACCTGCCGTTCACTCAAATAAGGGAGATATTTTAAGGATAAGGACCTTTTTAAAAATAAAATCTACTCTTGGGAAAGCAAAGCACACACACGTGCAGAGTACATCTTTCAGTTAGGATGTGGAACACATCGGCCAGTATCAGCTGTCAACGTCAAGTCCGTGAGCTCCCCGCTGAAAAATACACGCTGCCAGCACATGACAGGCTCCAGTATGTTTAATTGGCCTTCTTGACTAATGAAACACACACACACCCAGCTGCTCTGACAGTCCTTTATAAGTATTAATAAAATTCCAGTTATAGAGACTTACTATCCAAACAAAAATGTAGCAAAATAACCAAAACAAACGAAAAACCCTCTAGACTTCTGACCCCCCATTTCAACCAGGAATTTGAAACGTTCTTAAGGAAGAACACCCAGTATGATCAAATTTCTGCATAAAGGCCTTTTTTTCTGTGGCTTCTGTTTTTCCGGGTACCTTTTTCAATAACCTCTGATACAAGCTAACAATTTTCTTATATCTCTTTCTGCCCCTCTGACAAGAACCTGGAAATAATTTAGTGACCAATATTTTTCAGAAGCCAAGTGCTGAACTTGAGTGCAGAAAGACTGAACATTAGAAATGTCTGGCATTCCACACAATGCTGCTGTATTTAAAACACACACACACACACACACACCCCTTAAAAGGCAGATATCCAAACCTGCTTACAGGAAAAAGGGATTTCTGGGGTCTACACCCACTTTACAGGCTTGGGATCTCACACCATTCTCAGCCAGGGTCCTTGGCTTACAACAACACTGCCCTCAACAACATGATGACTGCTAGGTGTGGGCAGGGTGGAGGACCACAACATGGCCTCCAGACTCGTATGGCAACCCGGACTCATGAACTAACCTAAAGTTGATATAGAGGAATTAGAAACCAAGTCACCGTCTTCAAATTAAACTCAGTGGTTCTATAACCACATCAGGGTGACAAAGAGTTTATTAGCAGTGTGTAGCTCAAAATTCTAATTGCAGACCAGAGCTGGGCAGTTAGCTGAGCTGCTGCTGAATATTAATTATGTAATCTTAACTGATTTACACACTGCCCTCATTTAAATTTTCAGTGGCATACCCGCTAATAATCCCATTTATTTTCATGCTGTCAAGAACACAAATCACATTAATATTTACTATTGTAAAAGGATCTGTTGTAGTAAACGCTGCCTGAATAACCCCCACTTACAAATAGAAAGCTGAAAATGTTCACACGCCTTCAAGGGAAATGATTGAGAGCTATCTTTAAAAGGCATGGATTAAAAACAAAACCAAACAACAAAAAAAACTAAAAAATAAAAGGCATGGATTGATTTATTAGGGCAAAATGTTTCAAGAAATTGAAGTGACAAATACAACAATAAAAGAAAAAGGCTGTAGGCGTTGTTGGGCTTTTCCTCAAAGAGGAGTGTCTGAAATAACTCTGGGATTCCACTTGGAAAGGAGCCCAATGTAAGTTCTAAGTTGAGATTTTTCATATACAACAACTCACTTGCTGTTAAGTTTCCTTTACGGCATGTTAAGTGATTCAGTTTATAAAACTCAGTTTACACTTGTAGTAGCTTTTCCGCAAGGGATCTTCTAAAAAGAAAAACTCAAACCAAAATATGTCTCTGGTGACCATATTTTCCAAATCATAAAAGGGGGCGTGAAATTTGACAAATGTCAATGTGCTTTTGGGGATAATCAAATGGCAAGTTTCACATGAGGGCTATGGAAGTCCCAGGCCATATGGTTGTCATACCTTAGATAAGCAGGGCTTATCACATATGAGGAGAGAGAAGGGGAATAAGGGAAGAGAAAGGAGAACAAAACCTTCCAAGAGATGGATGGGGTGTGAAAGAGGAAACATACTAAAATGAGGAGAGTGTTTCAAAAATATTTTGGATTTCACATGAATAGGAGAGATGGCCTAGTCAACTTTTGGTACAGTTAGAAGTGACAAAAATCTGATTCCCATAGTGAGAATTTTATTGGATAATTCAAATTGCCTGCAATTAACATCTTTAGGAAGGTGGGAGAAAAATGACCAAATTATAGGTACAAAAGTGGTCTCAAAACTATATTCTCTCACTAGGCATTAGGTCTGCCAAGAAATCCTTGCAGATACCTAGGCCTGACTAAAGTACTGGTAATACTTTCCAGGAGATAAGAGAGAAAAGGTCTCTTCATAAACCACATTTTGACAAGACTGTGACAGTTCTTTTATTATAGCTGGCTTTCAGAAAGTGAGTCCCAGGCAATACTTCTCAAGGCTTCCAGCTATTACCTAGAAAAGAAGGCTTGAAGTCGGGGGCTTTAAGGCGGCTATATTACCCTTCAGACCCTAGACTGGAATGTTCTAAACATCTGGACTGAGGCTTGAGGGACTCTCCACCTCATTTGCCACAGTTTTAAGGCACTGACACAACCCCCCACCGATATGGGAACGTTAATGGTGATGTGAATAGTCCAATTCATTTTGGGAAGGAGGTAAGAAATGAAATTCACATTTTATTTACTGCACATATTTTTCAGTATTTATAATCTAAAATGTCTGGGTAAAAGCCTTTTGGCAACTCCATATTTTGTTAATATACCGATTGACTGTATTTTGCTGTGAGTGATATTTTAAGGATCTAAGAAGGTATTATATGCATCTTCCCTAAGCCCCAGATTGCAGAATTTTAAAAAAAATACTTGAGACCATCTGGGGAAAAAAAAGTTGATTCAGACATCACACTATTAACCAGGTTAAATTCCAACGGAATTTACTATTAAAATTTGAAACCATAAAAGTAATTTTAAAAAGAATAATCTCAAAATGGTGAGACTTTTAAAAGAAAACTCAAAATCTAGAAAATGAAACAGAAAATACAGATTAAATCTGATTATATACACATCAAAGAAGAACAATAAATACAGTTCAGAGGTAAACTACAAATTGGGAAAAAATATTTGCAACTCATATTGCTACCAAGGGATCTCTCTCTCATTGGAAAAACAGCAGTAACTCAAAGACAAAATAAGCAAGAGATATAAACAGTTTACAGAAAAACAAATGGTTCAATCCCACTTATAATAAGAGACAACACACTAAAACCACACCGAGACACCCCTTCTTTTTCACCTATGATGTTAGTGAAAAGGCCAAAGTTTGACAACACAGTGTGCTGGGCTGGCTGTAGGGAAATAGGCATGCTCATATACTTCCAAGAGAAACCCACCTTTGTACCCCATCATGGAGGGCAGTCTGGCACCATACATACACCATACCATGTACCCTGTGATATAGCAAATACATTTTCCTCTGAAAACTTTCCTACAGATGTGCTTATCCCACTTGCAAAATGACACATAAACTTATTCAGCACACAACTGTTTGTAATAAAAGATGGAGAACAATCAAAATGACAGCCACAGGGCACTGGTTAACTAACTAAATCATGAAACCTCTATACAAAGGAATATCATGCTTCTGGGTAAACGAATGAGGAAATTATACAGGCATAGGGAAAACTTGTGTTATGTGAGAATAGCAAGGCACATGATTGCGTATGCAGTATTTCATTGTGTACACGGGGATAAAAGGATATTCATTATTTGCTTATATATTATATATACATAACAATCTGGAAGAATAGACAACAGACTAGCAATAAGGGCTACCTATTTGTGAGGAGGAAGAGAGCAGGGTGGGTGAGTGATGGGATGGTAATTTAGGGGTGCATATAATTTAAACTTTTTGATTTTGAATCATGTCAAGTATTACCTACTCAAAACTTAAATCAGCTTTATTGAAAAATTAAATACTTGGGTCTGATTTTCAGTGTTTTTTTCCTCTCCTTTCTGGGAGGATAATCACCTCTCACAGCCATTGTCCTGCTTTTAGCAATTCTCTGTGCAGTGCACCTTACTTAGCGCCTGCCTCCCTGTCCTCCCTGCTGTGGGAGAGGGAAACAATAGGGGCAGAAGAGTAATGCCACGTGAAGTTATGTGTAGGGACTCTCTAACAGCTCTTGCAGCTGCTTGGAGGGTTGCAATTTAGGCATCACTAAGGGCTCTTCTCCCGATTCCTGGCCACATTTTGGGTGGAGATACAGCCAGGAGAGAAAAAGAGCGCAGACTGAAAAAGGCGAAAGTCAGAGAAAGAGAGCCTGCTGAAGTGCTTGCATTCCAGCCTCCTGCAGATGCCTGCAGAGGTAGGGGCACCCTGTCTTTCAAAGCCTTTTCATAGAGCAGCAGCAGAATGGAACACGGGTCAGGAAAGGAGGCGGCAAAAGTGCCTGGGGAAGGAGAGGGGACAGCGGGCTAGTGGAGAATGAGGAATTTTACAGTGTGGCAGGGTGGCCAGCATAAGGAAGAGCACAGACATGGAGCCCCTTGAGGACAGGATCTATATCTGGCCCATACCATTTTCATGGAGTAGTTAGCAGAGCACATGGAGCCCTGAGAAGGGGTACTGCTCAGGACGCACGCCATTGCAGTGGAGTCCCAACGCAGCCACTTAGGCAGAGTGGCCTAGCCAAGTGACAACTTCTCAGAGCCTGAATTTCCACATCTTCTCAATGGGTTAATATATTTCACACACTAAGCATTTTATATATATTACCCCCATTTAATCTTCACAACCACCTCATGAAAAGGAGCTATCATTAGACTCATTTTCTAGATAAGAAAACAGAGGCCCTATGGGCCCTTCCTAGTCGTAGGGCCAGGAAGTGGCAGAGCTGTGGTTAGAACCCATATCTCCCTAAGCCAAAGTCTGTCTTTTAAGCTACTACACTATTTTATAAAGTAAATGATATAATTTATAATCAGAGGGATTCTGTAAATACTTATAGTTCCCTAAGATGGTTCCCAACTCCTAAACCTAGATGAAACTGATTGTGCTTCCCTTACTGAGCAGCAGAGAAGATACCAGAGGGACTGGGGCATCTCTCTTACGATCCAGAATATGTCTACAATGGAACCACCGACATGTGGGGGTCCAGAAAGATACATTAAAAAAAAACAGTCTGGCAGGCTACAGCATCACTTCTTGGGGGGACTTGAAATGGGATGTGCATTTATCTTTGTGATATTCATAAGGTGCTGCTGGCTATTTGAACGTGTTATAATAAAAAACACATTTATTTTTAACGGACTAGGTATGACACTTAGGCATTTAAGTGATGTCCAAAGTCTTCCCCTCATAAGATTAGTTTTTGAATCCAAAACTATACAGAGAAGTTCCTATTTCAGTTTCTAAGATTTCTGAAAACATTAGAAAGTGAAGACATTAATAAGGAAAAAGAGATCACAGAATAATTTAGTTACCAGTGTTAGCAGTTCCTGCTTTCCCTACACGGCCAAAATTGCACTGTACAGTATAAAAGAAAATAGATCATGTACCTTCTCATTAATGTCATAATCCTAAACTATACCTTCTCAGATTTCATAGGTTTATCTGATCATAATAATTGGATATCGAAATGCTGTCTTAGTACTCTGATTTACCCACAACCAATGGAGATGAATCATTCCATATAAAAATTCTAACATAAATCCTATAAATTGGTTCATTGAAAGTAAAAAGGGACTGCTCGTGACATAATATGGATTAGGGAATGAGTCTAATTAGCATTTTAATATTAAAAGATATTAATATTAAATAGAGTTTGCCTAAGACAGGCCTTACAGAAATATTATCAAGAGATTCAAGAGTGGTGATTAAGACTGTACAGTCATGAGTTTCAAACATTTATTATAAATGTTTCTAGGACATTTATAGTTTTCAAACTATCCGGAACTCATATGTGTGTCCTTTTTCAAAAACCATTTCACCATTCTTAGGGAAAGACACATAGTACATCCATGTTTGCTCACTTCTCTCCCCGCTTCCTAGTCTTCATCCCTAACTTATCTACAAATTTAGGTTTCTAAGAGGTATTTTTCACATAAGGCCAAACGCATGCATTATATGTTTATTTTTAAAGCTCAAAAACATGCAAATATCTGAAAGTTTGGAAAGAAAGTGGATGCAATACACATATAGACACACATAGAGCACCCCCAGTACATACAAACCCAGAAACAACACCCCCAAAACTGCAAAATAAAGCAAAGCAAGCACACACAGGACATATTTTAGCTGGTACCAGCTACACACAAGCTGAATTGATATTTGCAAGTCTTACTTTTGGGAATTCACGTAAAACAGGTGAGCTTCAGCACTGTGCCATCTACAAGACTTTCATCCCCATGGCAACAAAACAAAAATTTGGCAAGCCAGTCCCAACCATCAAGACGCCCCCCACTTAAGCTTGACCGCCCCTCACCTGCTCCCCTTCTCTCCTCTCTCCCCAGAAGAAGGCACTTCACGGAAACGTCTGGGAAAGCCCTTGGACTTTATTTTGTTACACCCTCTAAATGGACAAAAAACAAAAGAGAACAGGTATAGAATACAGTATTTTCAATTGGCCACCAAGAGTTCCATACAAATGCCCTCCCCTCCCCTCTGACACAGACAGACCCCGTCATCAGGCCTCATTAATGACATTTTCAAAAGAGGTTGCTTATGCACAAAGGTGTCTGGACTTTTTGAAGAGCTTTTATGCTGAGGTAAGAAATACCCAGTAGGAACTTTACTCTTGTAAGTCATCTTTACATATTCGCAGCCTCTGTTACCCTGGTGTTAATGAGGTTGGGATATCACAAACACAGTGATGACCCTTGTCATTCATATACCCACTCTTCCACCTTTTACACACTGCCCTGGCAAATAGAATGGTTTAAAATATCACTGGAATAAACAGAACTTGGGGATCATTTGGTCTTCCCTTCTGCCACAAATGTCTCTGAATCTGGTGCCATTAGACAAATCTGGGGTTTTGTCTTTTACCCCATGCTTTCCTCTCATCTCGGAACAAACATTTTCCTAATTCACAATACAGATTGGAGAATAAATAGGAGAGGCACCTAAGGGAGATGGGAACAGCAGTTGGCAAGTTATTACTATATATTAAGTCCTATATTTAGTTTCCCCTTAAAACTTAAATAACTGTAGCATCTGAGACTTGGCTACAGAATTTGAAAGATGCACTTCTGTCACACAAGAACACTTGAAGTATTTATTTAATTATATTTAGTCTCCTAAACCAGCTGGGCTATAGGATTTCACACTGAAATGATTCCTATTCTTTCCAAGCTCTGTTGATAAAATAGCAATGACAAACTCAGCTATATGGAAGTTCTCTTTTTTGGAAGCTCTATTGAATCCCACACCAAATTCTGAAGCCAGGTATGTAATTCCAAAGGAGTAAACATTTGGTTAACTATTGAGTCCACTGGAGGTTTTTTACTTCTAGGAATGAACATTCTCTAATTCTTGAGTGTCAGGTTTTCTTCCCCCTTAATTCAAGCGTTCAAGTATTGTGTTAATTATTAGACTCCATGTTGGGTAAAAGTGCTTGGCACAGGAACCTAAACTTTGGGAAGTCAAACTTGGAAGGCGATTAAAAAGAGGGGGAGGGATTGCTGTAACACAGAACTTCTTGTCTCCCTCTATTGAGTGCATTCTGGAACTACAACAACTGCCCTACAAACATCATGGATATACTCAGTGTGGCTACGAACATTAATCTGAAGAAATCGTGAGTGTGTTGGAATGTTTTTACAAATTCTCATAAAAACTTGAAATTTGCAGCTTCCTAAAATATTTAGACTTTTTCTCAACCCTTAGCCCTACTCTGAATTCTGCCAGATTCACTCTTTCAGGAATTTTGGAGCGGAGCCGGCTATCTCCGCAGCTTTTCCTCACACACAATCACAGGCGCTTAAAACTACCACCCGTAAACTGACAACACTTTTGCTGAGAAGCAAATGCCACACAATCAATACCTAATATCTCGAATAACTGAGATATTCGAGGCTACCTGAGCAAACCAGCAGAACAGACATAATAAACCCTGGGGGGAGAAGACAGTTAATTCTGAGAAATCCAAAGAAAGATGGTTGTTACCTAGAATAGACTGAACATACAAGGAGTTTCCCTTTCCTGAAAAATGAGCTCGGTTTAAAAACTTACCCACCCACCGCTTCCCTAACAGAATCAGTCCAGCTTTTTAAGTATCATGGAGCATGTTTAACTGGCAACCTTTAGCAGTGAATCTCTTTCCGCTTTTGTCTAATGACTATGTGTTAGCTTGTTCCAAGAGCTTCCACTGGCATCTCAGGGCCAACTCGACAGCAGGGGGGCGGTTACTATAACAACTGACAGCTCTCGTGAATTCTGAAAGGCCCCTGAGTAGCCATTTGGGAAACAGTTATTGAGCAAAAAGTTGCCTGGGACCGGCGGCTTTAGCTGCCATGTGAACCAGACCTCCAACCACAGTCACACGGAGAAAGACAAAAAAGAGGTGACCACCTCCAGGAACAGCTGGGGACCTCAAAAGACTCCCTGCCCACATGGCTTTTAGCATCTCAGAGCAAGATAGCTTAACACCACGGTGTCATCATAAACTCAAACCCTCTGAGGCAAACCGTATTCTGGCATCATAAAATGTGCCTGAGCTCTCCCCGATGGCTTGACACATTGTCAAGCTTTGAAAAGCTGAATTGTAAAAGTCATTCCTAATGATTAAAAAAAAGTCTTGAAATATGGCCACAGATATGGGTTCCAAAAAGAAAAGAATGGCAGACTCACCAATTTTAAAAGAAAAAAATGATGCCAGAATACCTGTGGTCCAGTAAATGGTCTGTTGGTAGAAAAGATAAAGGTGATCACACAAACCCACGAAAAATAATGACTTAGAAGCTCAGTTTTCCAGATTAGAGAAAGTTTTATATACACCTTCCTTTTAGATTCTCACTCTCTCCCTCAGCACTAAAAGGACACTCAGCAACTAGGACTGACCCAGTGCCTTTGCACATGTAGAATCTTCCAGAAAAGAATCTGACTGTACTCCTAACTGGACTTTTCTTTGTACGAAGGAAGGGCAGTTTGGCAGAGTTTGCCCTAAGAAACAATGAATGCGCCATGATCCAGCGTTTCTGAGTCATCTCCTACACAGCGACCTCTGCTTGGAACACTTCTCCTTTTTCTTTGTTTTGTAAAAAATACAGCCCAAACATTCTCTCCTCCAAGAAATTCTTGGCTCCCTTTCCTTCTCACCTAACCCTGGCTGTGGTCAGAGTCCCTCCCAGAACACAGTTTTCCTTGATGACTGTTGCAACCCAGGGGAATGCAAATTCAACCACCCACAGGGGCCAAACAGGCAAAGAACAGCGGGAAGGGCAGAGACTGGCAAACTGGCAAGGGAGTGCCTCTCAACAATGGGCCACCATGGTTCCATCCAGCCACCAGTGACACAAGGGAATCGGAGAACAATGTTGTTAAATTTTCCAGTGTATCACAAGAAGCTAGACAACTGAGGTTTTTCCTCAAATCTATTTTCTAAATAATTCAGTATTTAAAAAACATATCAGCTAAATAAAACTGGTCTGGAAACCACCAGTTTTCAACCTCTATTTGGGATAACCTTGGTTTACCTGATCCTTTCTTCCTCTAAGGTCTGAGCCCCTTAAATGCAGGAACTCTGTCCCTTCAATGGCTCTCCAGTGCCTGGAACTAACCAGATGCTTAAGAAATGTTGAATGAACTAACAGAGGAGTCAAGAGGCCAGCCATAAAGGGTCTTAGGTCAACAAAACACCCAAAACCCTAAATCTGAGAAATTCCAAAACTTACAAGCTGTTTGATCCTGGACAAGTCATTCCCCCTTCTGGAAACTCTTTCCTCTCTTGGGACAAGGATGATGCAGGCCCTGATGCGCCTTGCCTACCACACATGGCTGCTGGAGGATTCAATAACATAAGGTGTTCTCTGTATTAATTCAGCCATTATTGCTGGTTATTAACAGCAGTGTTTCCCCTTTCCTATCTCTTCACAGTCACCTGCATGGGAGAAATCATTCTTATGACAGCTGTCCCCTTTGTGACTTTGCTGGGGTGAAAAGGGGACAAACACCTATACCAAAATCCAGTCATCATCAAGCAGACTCGGAAGCGTCGGCCGATAGAGCAGATGGGTGAAGAGCATGTGCCTGGGCTCACAGCAGCTCTGGTGTCATTGTTGCTACTGTGGCAATACAGGAGGGATCTGTGTTCCAGTGAGGCACATGTGGTCAGTCATCCCTCAAGCAAGAGAGGGGTGTTACCACATGCCACCCTCGACTCTCGCATGCATCTGTTTGTTTGCCTGAGCCTCCATTATGCCAACACAAATCCCCCACACATTTGCGGTTTGCATCCCTTCATATTTATTTCACTCTGTCTCCCACTGAACATCCAGGGAAGAAAAAAAATTGCAATGTCAACAAAACTCACTTGTTTTCATGAACAGCATTCTTAATGAGGAGGCACCAACACATGGCAAAATTTCTGAAAATCTAAAGATGGGACTTCAAATAAAAGAGAGACCTTTTCCTATTTGCATACATGGCTAAATTGGTGTTGACTGATTTACCACAGAATTTACAGATGGCTTGGTCATGTGCTGAAGTGAATCTACCAGATCAGAGTGTGAAATCCTTCTCATACCAAATTTTAACAAACCTGGGTCAGATGTTACAATTCCCACTTAGAGAGTTTCCAGTTTTCTGTTCCAGAATCTGCCGTTAGCTCAGCCCTATCAGAATTTGAGAAGTAAAACTGCTCAATACTTTTGAAAAGACTTTTTCCAGGCCAGAGTTACGGTCAATAAGATATTACATTTAGTATCAAGAAAACTAGCACTGATCAGCTGAGACTAAGACAGACCAAATAGGTTAAATTTTTCAACATCAAAATCCTCTCAAATAATGGGAGATGTAGCTGATCGAATGTCACTAGTCAGCTTCCAGAACACCTGAAACTATCATTGGTTTTTTAAGTTTTCTTCCACGTGATTTTGGCAAATCCCAAACAAAGGATGATTTCTGTCTGGCCTCACCGCCACGTACAGCACCAGAGACATCCCCTTTTCCTGGAGCGTGTTTTTGACGCACACTATAAAAGTAGGCTGTGGAGGGAAGTATATGCCTCCAGGCACACTACTCCTCCTCTGGACAAAATAACATACTGCTTAAGACAGTGGACTATGAAATCAAGTTGGCTGGGTTCGAATCCACAGTCCACCAAAAATTAACACTGTGACTTGGGCATGTCACATGATCTTACTAAGCCTCAGTTTTCTGATCTGCAAAAAGAACATAATACTAATTATTTCCTAGGATTTGTATACTAATTAGGTGGGGTGTAATCTGCTGAGTACAGGTCCAGTATGATACATAGTCATAAAAGGTTCTTTGCTTGGCCGGGCGCAGAGGCTCATGACTGTAATCCCAGCACTTTGGGAGGCCAAGGCAGGTGGATCACCCCAGGTCAGGAGTTTGAGACCAGCCTGGTCAAAATGGCGAAACTCTGTTTCTACTAAAAACACAAAAATTAGCCAGGTGTGGTGGTGGGCGCCTATAATCCCAGTTATGCAGGAGGCTGAGGCAGGAGAATCGCTTGAACCCAGGAGGTGGAGGCTGCAGTGAGTCCAGATCGTACCACTGCACTACAACCTAGGCAACAAAAGTGAAGCTCCATCTCAAAAAAAAAAAAAAAAAAAAAAAAAGATTCTTTGCTTAAGAACCTTTAGATATACAGAGGCTTTTCAGATGTACAAAGCCATTTCAGGGGTGAGACATTACTCATCAGAGCAATAAGAACTACCTTCTAAGCAACGTCCCTCAGGATTACAAAAAAAAAAAAAATTAAAAATATCTTTGTAATACAATTCTAAGCAGAAAGAAATGCCTTGCTCATAGTAGCTACGCTATTCTATGGCACAACAAATAAACAAGGTGCACCCCCAGCACACGGATTGGACACTGGGCACACAGCTTCTCTCCCACCATCAACCTCAAATTATGCAAATCAAAAAGAAACCTTCCAAAAATTTTCCTCTTCTCTCTGAGTGGCAGCAGCTGGGCTGCTCCAAGTCTTTTCAGGAACGTCAGCACATTAGTGCCATATAGCAACTTCTCTTGTCCAAGATGCGGAGCTCCCGGAATGCAATTTTTGACTGTTGCAATTCAAAAGGTGTGTTTTACTACCATCTTAAGTAATAAGGCCAAAATGGCACACTTGGAAAACTTTCAAATTGATTTTTTTCCCCTTATTTCCAATAGCTCTGAACCACTACATGGTTGATATGGACTGTAATATTTACAAGGCACACAATAGGGTGCCATTAAAGCTGTAACTATTAGTTGATTTTATTTTTATTATCTGCCTCACAACCCTGCCCCTTGTCCAAAATCACTTTGCATACATTTCTTCCTAGTTCAAGAGCAACTTCTGTGTTATTACAGTCTGGTTCCTACAGCTCTTCAAGGCAGACCTTCGCAAGGGCCATTCAACCTACCTGTACATCCTACCTGAAATATCTCAGTTAAAGCAGTTTAGAATAAATGCCTCCCCAAAGATCCATGTTGCCACCTATAAAAACACTGCTCAAATAGTCCCCGATGAGACTGATGTCTGAGGTCTCTCAGACATACAGGTGTCTGAGGTTTCCATTCATAGTTTTTAGTTTCGGCCAACTTTCAAATAGACTAATGATTGGTCTCCAAAGTTCTTCCTTTCAGGAAACATACACATAACTCAATGATGCCAGTGGGTCTACATATTTAATAATACTATGGCAGTGCTTAACAAATACCCATGTGTGCCACCTACATCATCTGTGTTCTTGGGGCTGTCTGACCATCTGCAGCCAGTGGTGAATGAAGGAGTGAAGGGGTCCACTTCTAGGCCAAGCAGTTAGAGTTTGGTGCCTTCCTGACTTCCCTCTCCCTGCTACAGCAATTTGAGAGATACCTGCTCCAGAAAGAGAAACCACCAGTGGAAGAGGGCTGCCCAAACCTATCAGACCTCACGTGGGTGAGAAGTGAACCTCTGTGTGCTATGAAGCCACTGGGGTGCTAGGGTATGTCTGCTGCAGCAATGAAGCTTTCTCTAATACGGCCGACTGGGAATTAATAAGGCTGGCCACTGGGTTTCAGAGTTGTTTCCTGGGGTCGGGGAAGGGAATTGGGTCATGTCTTTAACCCAGTTACTTAGAAATGTCCTCCTCTGGAATTGCCTTTAAGGCCTATCAGGAGCATCACCCAAACCAATTTCATTAACTTGATATTCACCCCTTTCCTTTTTTGTCCCAAAGTGGTTCTGCTCAGTTGGTTAACCTACATTCATGCTATATTTAGCTCCAAACAGATGACTTTTATCTATTTCTAGGATAAATACTTTGCACAACTGAGATTCTTCAAAAGAATGAACTCTATAAAGAAATTCCAAGTTATTTTCAAGCATGTTGTATGCAATGGACATACTGCAAACTGTGTACAGTGATACAATGTGATGACATTTAAATGGCAAAATTCATTTAGATCTGTGCATTTGATTTTATTAAGAGACAGCTTCATTTGAGGCGTACCAGGACCCAGAGTTGTCTTTTCCATTTTTCCCTAAAGTCAGATCAGGTATAACACAACTAATGCCTGCATATTCACCAGGAGCCAGGCACCAGGACAAGCATTTTCCATCGCTTGCACTGGATCCTCACGTGAACTTGTGGCCCATTTCTTAACTGTATGTTTTGCAGATGAGGAAACTGAAGTTGGTGAAGAGGTCTTTGTCTAAGGCAGCGTTTCTCAACCTGTTTTTCACTGGCAGCTCCTCTAAGGTGGCCCTTTGAGACTTTTTCCCCCTAACTGCCCAGTGCCAATTTTAGTACCATGAATGCACAGTGCTATTTATGCATATGTATACCTGTGCTTTATACACAAAGTAAGTTTATAAAAATCTCCCCAAAACAAATTCACACCTTGAGAGATGACAGCACTGCTGGTGGGAAACATGTCCCACAGCTGCACAAATAGAGTGCTGCACTGTGGCTCCAAATCCAAGCTATGTGACTATAGGCCCATGCTATAGTCTCGACACAGTAGTGTTTCTTTGTGATCTTGCCCTCCTGCAATTTGGCTCCTTCAATGCCTTTCCATCATCCTCAGGGTAAGGCACATCTCCCTTCGGTGAGGCCCTCATGATCTGCTCCAACAACACCGAGCCACATGTATCTGCTTGCAGTAGGCCAGACTTTTTCTCCCAAGCCTCATTCTTCCACACCCTCTTCACCTGGCTTACAGCTGCTTGGGCTTCAAGGCCCAGCTTGGACATCAGGTCCTCCAGGGAGCTTTCCCTGACCCCCAACCCCCATTCCAGGCTGGGCTGAAGCCCTTCCGATGTGCTGTTATAGCAACTTGGATTTACATTTCTCCAAATACTCCCCATACTCTATTATATTTACGCATGTGCCTCTTACAATGGACTGTGAGGGCCACGGGACCTTGTCTCTAAATCTCAAGGCCCACCAGGATGCATGACAGGAACTCTGTAAGCATCGTATAAATAACAGGAAGCTGAAAATGGCTCCAGTGCACGTGCAACAGAAATAGGTTTATAATTTTTTAAGTAACACAATACTTGGCTGAACTTCCTACTCACTTTTTTAGGTCTTGATGGTCCTTTGGGAAACCACCCCTTGTTTGGCTTCAGTCCAAGGTTCTGATAACAATGGCACTGATCCTCCTTCTGGGCTCCAGAGTTAAATAAAAGACCTAAGCCTGACAAGACTGTTCTATTCTTTTGGCCACCAGATGACTCCAGGGATGGACAAATGACGTTAAGTCAGTCATAAGAGATACCACGTTGAGACTTAAGTGGAACTATTAGAGGAGAAAGATTCCCTTTCCACTGGGGTGGAGGCATGTAAGTCTAACACTGCCAGAGGCTGCTCTGTGGGAAGATGCAGAGGGCCTGTCTGAGCAAGAAGACGAC